ATATTGTTACATAGCATATGAAAAAATTTGACATCTTAATTAAATTTAAATATTTATTACTATTAAAAGATTAAATAGTATTAACTGAATCTAATAAAAATATAAATTTTGACTATTTTTTTAAAAGTACAAAGAGAATTTTGAGTGAAAAAAGTTTTTAAAAGATAGTAGAAAAAATTATTTGTTTTAACACGAGTAGATAATATTGTTATTTTTGAAATTAATAAAAATAATATTTAAAACTAAAAAAAAAGTTTACGAAAAATGAGAAAAAATTTGAGTATTTTAGTTTTAACGAATTTTGATATTAATGAAGACAATGTTTTTTTCATTTGCATTTTTTAAATTCGGTTTTCAATGACTCTAATTTTGTCCTATAATATTATGCATTGTATTTGGACCTTTTTTTGAGTATGCACTTCTACTCCATTTTATTTAGCAAAAAAAATAATAATAATAGAACCAAAATTTATTATTATTCTCATTATTATTATTACTACTACTATTATTATTATTATCAATTTGCTCTGATATATTGTGACAAATTCCATTTTAATCTTTTGTGGTTTGTGATTTTTTCATTTTAAAACGCTGTTTTTTTCGATAAACATCTCAAACATGGCCTGAACAAAATCAAAGCCTAGTTCCAAAGCCTGCTTAAATCTGGCCCAGAATAGGAGGATCGGCCCTTTAGCTTCCCGAAAGCAGCGCCATTTTGAAGCAGCACTTTCGTCTATTCCTTCTGCTCGAGAGAACGACAGAGAGAGACGGGGTGCAGAGAAGCAAAGAAAGAAAGAGAGGAGCGAGAGAGGAAGAGTGAGACAAGAGCAAGGTACGAGCGGGAGAGAGAAGAAGCACTTCCTGTAGGCAGTTTGACGAACAGACAGACACCTATGCGCAACCACGGGAGAGCCTGAAATGTACGAGCAGAGACAGACGCGTGAGAGGAAGAAGGCTTGCTGCGATTGGTTCAAGAAGAAAAACAGAGCTGCGTTTAGAAAAAGAGGCGAGGAAGGAGAAAAAATAGAAGAAAAGGGAGGAAGGAATTTCGGGTTGAGGTTAGTGAGAGAACTAGAGACTTTGAGGCAGAGTTAAAAGAGAGGGGAGGAGTGCACGGAGAGAGTAAAAGAGAGGGTATAATTTTTGGGGGACTAGGGTTTTGTAGAGAGAGAGAGAGGGAGAGAGAGAGTTCGTCAGAGAAGATCAGAAGAATAAGAGAGTAGGCAAATCAGAGAAAGAGGGAGAAAATAGAGGTGATTTGGAGTAGTAGTAACAAAAGGAAAGAGAGGGTTCTAATTCCAGAAACCTTAGGCAGAAGGAGATTACTTCAGGTTCGTGAAAGAGGAGCTTCATAGTCTGCTCACCATTTGAAAGTCTATATTTTCTCCTCAGGTAATCTCTTCAAGTCCAAATATTATAAAATGAGGATATGTACAAACTTGAGCTTCTATTGATGATGAATTTGGATTGAGTTATTGGCTGAAACTGGCGCTGTGTCTAACTTCCCTATTTGAAAATTTGAAAACAAAATATTCTGTGTTTTAATGTTGCTGAGATAACGTGAGTTTCAAATAGACATGCATACGGATTAGTCTTCTAGTGTAGGATTCAGTTTTGGGCTTTCTGTTTGGGATATATTGAACAAGTGCCGAGGACTGGACTAACCATATTTTTTCAGTAATATGTGTTAGCTCTTTTACTCCAGTTGCATCCATTATAGTGTAGACAATATTGGATGTGTACAAGCATAATTTTTTAGACATTTAGAAGATCTCAATATGCTGTGAACGGCAAATGTGGTTGTGGACAATGAATTTTTTCTTTCCCTAGAGAATTGCTCTTAGAAATTGGGTATAAGATCTTTTAGAGCTGAGCCGTGAGTGACCATGGAAAACCATGTTGACATGGAACTGTAATATTGAGGGTCATTTAGGATCTGAGAGAAGGATGTCTGCTTGAAGTTTGCTAACCCAACTTGATAGTTTCTACCATGCTTTCCTTTAAATTCTTGCACTATTTAGGAAAGGATGTTCAGTTTCTGTTTGGATTATGAAGGTTGTTTACACTTATGTATGTCTTAATCGGCTAACTTTATTTGAACCTTGTGTTGATGTTATGAAAATTCTTGAAGTATCATTTCATGATGATCTAAAATGGAACATGGAGATGTTCTTTTTAATCAGTTAAGTTTTGAATCAGATAGGTATAACCTTGGGAGTTTAGTTTGATAAAATTCCATTGTCATTTTATGCTTTGGATAAAGTGTTTAACTCTAAACTAAAAGGAAAGGAGAACACTTTTTGGTCTGTTGTCTTGACACTAGTTTTGTTGAATATTGTAATTAAATTGCTTTAGTAATTGGTTAGTTGACAAGGTATCATGTACTCAAAAGTTTAGAGTCCTTCCCATCAAGTTTTCCCTGAGATATATCATCATGCAGTAAGCCTAAGGCTATATGTTGTGAGATAATAAATATCTTAATTTTGTAGAATAATTAATTCTAAGTATCTTACTAGGGTTATATATATATAATTTATTTAGTTATAAATTAATTATAATATTATAGGCTGTGGGATTGTATTTAGTTATGAATTAATTATGTAATTAGTAGGCTGTGGAACTGTATTCTATTTGTATTTTTATTGGTTGCTAGTTTTTGTTCTCAGTTTTTAGTGTGGGAGGTTAGTAGAAACTGGAGGGAAGCTGATGTGGTAGGCAGCTTTGGAAGTAACTTCCAGATAACTGCTTCCTCTGCAGATTTAAAATCTGCTACTGTCCTTGTATAGAAAAATTTATCAATAAATTGAGTACTTAAAATTCTAGTAGGTCATTGGATTCTCTTTTAACGAGCCCATACATGTTGGATAATAAATATCTTAACTTTGGAGAATAATTAATCATAAGCATCTCAATAGTATATAAATATATATATATATATAGAGTTGCAAATTAATTATAAAATTAGTTAGGCTGTTGGATTGTATTTAGTTATAAATTAATTACATAATTTAGGCTGCGGAAATTGGATTCTATTTGTAGTTTTAGGTTGTCGGTTTGTGCTTTCAGTTTTTAGTGTGGGAGGTTAGTGGGGAGAAACTATGGGGACGCAGATGTAGTAGGCAGTTCTGGAATTAACTTCCAGATAGCTGTTTCCTCTGCAGAGTTAAAAAACTGCTGCTATCCTTGTAAATGCTCAGTTTTTATGCAGAAAATTTATCAAAAAGTTTCTTGAATACTTTAACTCTAGGAGATCGTTGGATTCTCTCTTAACGAGTTCATACATTTAGATTAAAATATACAAAAGAAGAAGAATACAAAAACAACCTTTGACACCTATTGATTTTTGGGTTAGCCTTCCCATAGCGACATCCGAAAATTGGGACCGTAACAATTTGTTGTTAGAGTCAGAAGTTATGGGAGATTTGCAGTTTATGTTTGAATTTTTTCTCAAAACTTTCCAGGAAGATCATGAAAACGATTGTTTAAAGTGGAAATATCTGGCTGGTTGGTTGGAAGAATTGTCTTCTGGCCGACCAGGTCTGCGCATTCAAGGAAAAGGGTCCTTGCAGGGAGAACCAGTGGATACTAGAGGCTGAAGTAAGGGACCTTTGGGGAAACACGAGTTTGTTTTCACTTTTACATAGTACTACAGTAATTGTTATTTGGATGTATGTGGTTTTGCTTTCTTTCCTCTTTGGCCCTGTAAATAGGGTTAAAATTGAATTTTAGTGGAATCAATAGTGAATGATCCTTCACACTCTTGCATTTTAGTTAGGGAATTAATAAATTGCATGCAAGTTACAGTTTGACTAATTAGTCTATGCCACATGATAGGTGTCTCGCAGCTTTCTAGCTTGTACAATTTTGAACCTAAAATTTCTAATTAGGAGTAATGCTTAATTTTGGTGTTGATCCTACTTCAAATAGGATCAGTGATGAATCAAAAGAACCAGAAAAAAAAAAAAAAAAGCAGATCTTAAGAATACTATATTTTGCCAATCCTCACCTTGTGTCACTGATTGTGGCATATATAAACTCATATTTTTTATTATTAGGGAGGAACTTTGGGCTTGGGGTTTTTTAAGAGATAGATGCTCTTTTGCAGAGATTATTCTGCTTACTATTTGGTGATTGGTTTGGAAGGAGAGAAATAGAAAGGCTTTTGAGGGGTTGGATATGGTTAATGGTTTTGATATTCTAAAAAATAGATGGGCGAGGACCCTAGAATTTTTGTTGCTGGGCCACTCAACTGCAGTCATGGAGAATTTTTTTGCTTTGTTTATCTCAAGCTGACTGGTTTGTATATATTTGTACATGGGGTGCACCCCTTTTTTTGGTGCTTATGGTAATACAGCTCACACTTTTATCTTAAAAAAAAAAAAACTTGAGTTTATATGTGTGTGTTTAATTGACTACTCTTATGTCCTTAAAAAGGGGCATTTTAGTCATGTTTTAAGCCGTACGGTAGGATTGACATTCTGGAAAACTGTTTAAGGCATGTAGTGTTGGCATTTTAGTCTCTAATATTCTAGACATGTTTGTATATGCTAAATGAATTTCTCTATTCATTGAAGCATGTTGGTAGATTTGTTCAAGTTCTACTATCTCTGTACCATGGCCAAATATATATTTAGCAAAGAGAAAAAAGACACAAACATGGAATGGAGAACAGTTTTATTTTATTTGTACATTTATGTAAATTTAATTTCCCATTTCCTCATAGTTTGCGAACACAATTATTAGTAAATTTTTATTTGGAGATAAATGTCATGGTCACACACCTCACATAGTTAGGCTACTAATAAATTCATTCTAATCAAACCTAAATTAGTTAGTCTACACCATAAGACAGGCGGTTTACATGTTCCAATCTAATAAATTTTCGACCCTAAGTCTCTAATTATGACAAATGTATGACTTTGCATCTAATCTTGTCTCAAATAGGATTAGTGGTGACACCTAATTTTAAGGCTATTTTCCAAACTTTGTTGTGTCAAGGTTGTGATAATCTCATGGTAGCGATATCTTCAATTTTTGATGGCATTTTGCCACGTGGTCACTACACTCTATTTAAAATTTTACCTAGTTTTAAAAGATAAAAAACTTGTTAAAAACTCTCTTCTCCCCCTCTGCCTCCTGTGTCTTTCAACCAAAATCTTGTGAATACGCTCTGTTTTAAGTTTCACTCGAACTCATTTTAAATTTAATCTATGTGGTAGACATTTTATCAACTTCTGATGACATGACTGGCACATGGTGATAAGATGTCTATAAATTTATTTACTTTAATATTAACTGATAAGTTTACTGTCAGACTGATTTAGAATAAAATCAAAGGGTCTGAGATTTAATTACAGTAATTGAAAGGTCATAGACCAAATTGAAAAAAATGTCCAAAGTTACATACTTATTACGATTAACCCGTCCGAAATATGAAAGTAAGATGATAGACATCTTCAACGTATGTTAAACAATGTATTAAGATCAGAAATGAACTTGTTAATTGTGTTGTGTATTCAGATAAAATCCAAAATAAGTTTTTGGATTTAATTGAGGCCATCTTTCGGTCTAAGCCCCCAAGACCGACTGTGTTTATGTGGGTCATAATGTCCATCTCCAGAATCAGCCCCAAATTGACACTAGATTAAATAAATATGAAAAAGAAAGCTGGTAGAATCTCATATAAACCCTAGGCCTAAGATTGAAAACCACAAGGGTTATTCATTGTTCCAGAATTTTATCTCACCATTGCTTTCAATATTACCTGTAATTAGACTTTTGTTGTTTAAGTGTTATGTAGTATTTTTAACACTTTCCACACTACCTCTAATGTTCTGTTCCTCCTCATTTCTTTCCATTTTTTTGTCCTCCTTACCATCTTGGTCATTCTCAGATTGCTTCCCTTGCCATTCATGTTCTCTTCTTTCATTCATCGCTTTAGATGGCAACATTTGGAGCCTTCACGGCTGAGCCTCTCTCTGCTCTTTCCTCCACCATTACATTCATTTATAAGGATTCTTTCATTTACTTTTAGTTTTTTGTGTGAATAAATCAGAGGCTAGAGTATTGAATTTTGGTTCCTGTTGAGAGAGGGAGATACGGGTTGCTTGTGAATTGTTTCTTTTTGAAGGATAGTGTTGGTTAGTCATTTTACTCTCTACACATTTTGTGTGTTAGCTTTCAGCAGACACCAGTTGCTTTCAAAATGATCCTGAAATTCTTTTTTCTTTTCCTTAACTTGTAGTTTGTTTAGTTGATTATAATGTCTCTTAGTTGAGGCCAATAACATGGTTACTTTCTTGTTGCATGTTGTTATATGATTCTCATTTAATTGCAGTGATACCAATGGATATGTGAGGATGTTGTTAACAATATAACTGGTGGCTTCTTGTTGATGTTGTTTTTCGATTCTCATTTGATTAACGGATGCTAATGACTATGGGAAAATGTTGTTAACAGTGCATTCAGTTGATTTAGTTCTTTAATATCATGTGAGATTGCTGGGTTTGACTACTAAATTCCTAACCGGATTTTGTTAATTGCTTTGTGGTTTCGTCACTTAAATGGAGGATCTATTTTGTATATGGATTATATACTGAACTTTACAAATGATTTTTGTTGATCTTGAAGTCTGTTTCTCATCAATATTTCACTGAATTGGTCTTTTTTGCTATATGTATCTGTTTCTGTTGGAATTTACTAACAGTGTTTTGTATGTATCATGGAATATGAAAGTAGTACTTTAAGCATGCTCGATTTTGGTCGATGATTTTTGTTTAGAATAATTGTTCCTATTTTACTGTTTTCTTTTTAATTTTCATTTTTTTATCTGGATTAGGTGGAGTATTCATGAGTATATTGTTAATTCTATATCAATTTCAAGAATGAGTTTATTTGTTCTGTTTGTTTGGCTGGAACTCGTATTTTTTTCTCATGTTAGCTTGTATAGGCCTGCTCATATGATTTTTTTAATTATCATTTTGAATATTGGCTGATTTCTGTGTCAAAGCGTGGTTATCTGAGGAGAATTGATGATCTGATTCAGTTTATTAGGATGGAGGTGTTCATTGACTGTTGAACTGTAAATTCTGAATTACTCTAAAATTGCTTGACACCCGTGTATTTTTTTTCTAATTACGTATACCAATATGCACTCTGTTGTGATTGTTGATTGCAATTATTGATTGCTTTTGGCAATTGAAAAGTGCAGCTTTTTGTAGAGGAGACTTTCGATCCAAAGCTTGACTGTCCAAGCTTCTATTCATAGTTTTGTTTTTATTTTATTTTTGAATATATCCCCTTCTCTGTAACTGACAATTCTGGTCAATTTGTACTGAGGCCTTGAAGCCACTTGATGACCATTTAACACTGCAAAGATGCATTTAAATAGGACTTTCCTACACGATCTAATTTAGGATTTACTTGGTAACACCCTTTTATTCTGGGTTAATTTTCCTTATTCAACGTCTGTGTACAATCAGTTGTAATCTTGGTGTTCTAACCCTACCATCAACTGGGTCAATGGTGACTCTACAACAAATGTAATTTCTTTTGTACAAATTGTTGGTATCTTTTAATTAATGTGAGAATGCTACGATATGAACAGAGTTTCAGCTGGAAAAAGCCTGAATGGAGCCCTGGCCCAATTGAAATTTTCATTGTTAGGCTAAATAAGCAGGTATTTAGCTCAATTTGGTTTGGCTTGGCTCTTGATTACTCCCAAACTAAATTGTTTCTCTCTCTTCTGCAGTTGCATTCTTTTTGCTTTATTTCTTGTATATGCCAGCTCTTTGTTTGAAATTTGATCTATATTCTTATTTTATCTTTTTTTTTTATAAATAAAATGCAATCTGTTCTTCTGATAGCAAGGGGGAAAACCCATTTAATATTTAGAAAAGCCCTTTCATTTTGTGCCTTTTTGTCTGAGTAGTGTTTGTTCAGCTTTATGTTGCTGGTAATTTGAATCTTAAGCTTCCCCCATCTCTCTTGCCTTTCTTGCTCATATTTGAGTGTGCTTTCTCCTTTTGTTAGTTTCCTTTAACTCTGATGTTTATATGTTCCATATCAATAGTTGCAGTTTTTGTTTTTATTTTCTTTCCTTTGTGAATAAATGGATCAGAATTGGGTTTCTAAAGGTTCAATGTAATTTATACATTTCTCCGGAGTATTTTTATTTATCTAGTTTGATTAGATAGAACTCTCTCTCTCTCTCTCTCTCTCTCTCTCTCTCTCTCTCTCTCTCTCTCTCTCTGTGCTGGTACTTAATTGTACACTCATTCTTATTACCAAGAAAAGAAATTCTATGCTAATCTATTATAGTTTTGGACTTTTTTGATTGGTGTTTACGCAGTTACTGAAAATTTTGTGTAACATATGGTAAATTTGACGGCAGCTTTGAAATTGTAAATT